TCGACGAGAAGTCAATGGTTACGTTCTAAAACAGGGATAAACACCTGTAATCATAAGTAATAATTCATTCATTTGCACACTTATTTATGAATACTTTTAAACTCAATCTAAAATAAACACTAACCTTATCGACCTCCCACCATGCAGGATAAAGTTTAGCTTGTCTATTGCCCAACGCAAATGATTCATCTCGTTGATTCTTCAAGTGAACGGCATTAAAAGACGTCGACATAATTATATATCGTGTATTTCTTTTATTTTCCTTAAGTTTCCTAATTATTAGAAGGCGTGACACTCACGCATCGATATGCTGTTTTACAAAAAAAGACATATATTAGTAACTTACATAAATTTACAAAAAAATAATCAAATTAAAATATAAGAAAAATATAAGACTTATCCCTCCATCGAAATAGCCATTGTCTTCGACCCCTAATAATACAACCCACCAAGACCGATCAAGCAACAAATAGATATCATCATTGAGCTTGCATATGTCAGTCAAACACCCCTGGCTTCGCTCATGTAGATAAAAATCAACTGCGATCTTAGCCCAAAGGGTGTTATCCAGAATTGTGTCTGGTAGTTGTTTCCTCTCCACTTCAGATACCGATATGGTACTGGCCGGTAACTCATACGAGAGCCAACTTGAATCCATCATGTCCGGCACGTCAGAGGGTTTCTCAAGAATCTTATATATGACGTCATGTGAATCGGGCTCTTGAATGGTGGGAGAGACCTCTTCAACGATGACAGTGGCCTCTTGAACGGTGGGAGGGGACTCTCGAGGAATGATAGGGGCCTCTTCAACGATATGAGTGGACTCTTGAGGGATGACAGTAGCCTCTTGAACGGTGGGAGGGGACTCTCGAGGAATGATAGGGGCCTCTTCAACGATAGGAGTGGACTCTTGAGGAATGACAGGCGAGTCGGGCTTCTTCTTGCGGTGTCTTCGCACTATTGGGGTATACGGAGACTTAATAGCATGTGCACGCCGTCTGATGCGTGAACTCTGTCGTGCAAGAAAAACCCGACGTAAAGCATCCACCTTATCGATCCGCTAAATAATTAAATACAAATATCAGTAAATAAACAGACATGATATTTAAACAGTGAAAACAAAGATAAATATATTTCAAACTTTCAACCAAAAGATAAAACAAATACAAATATTAACTTCACAGTGTTAAAGAATACACAGTTTAGCAGAATTAGCAGCAACCGAATAAATTTACTTCAACCAAAAGACAAAACAAAAAGACAAATACTAACTTCACAGTATTAATAAACAGTTTAGCAGTATTGACAGCAACCGAATAAATTTACTAAACAATCTAAGTGAAATAGTTAATTTAAGTGAAATTACGAGTAAATTTATCATCAAGTTAAATATGAAAAATCTTAAACTTACCTCATTACGTAGAGTATGAACCTCATTCTGCAACGATACTACCATCTCACGTAGAGCGACAACCTCACCACGTAAAGTAGACACCTCCACACGCCATGCACCATCGTTATCGAGTAGAGTACCGATCTCCTCACGCAAGGCATAGACCTCATCACGTAACTCCCTTGACTCATCTCGTGGAGGTGGAGAACAGGGAGATAGAAGTCGTGGCATCTTTGCCGGTCACCTATCATGAGGTGATGATGGAGAAGAGGCTCGATGATGTGACGGGATAGGTGATGGCTCTCGTTGTAGAGGTGTATAGTCGGGTCGATCAGGTGATGGCTCTGGGTGAGGTGATGGCTCTCGAAGTGGAGGAAGTGGAGGCTGCTCATCATTCGTGCCATCAAGAAAACGCTGACTAGCTTGCCACCAATCAGTGGCAAGCTCAGCCTTCGTGGGTGTCAATCTAATTAATGGAATGTTGGCCTCCTAAAAATATAAAAACTCAAACAAAGTTAAACGTCTACTATTAATAACTTGTTTATATATGATAGTATTTGTGTTAACTTACATTATTTATTGTCGCATATGATATTAAGTCTTCCTAATCCAACAAACGTTTCCTCTTCCAGGAAATAGCCCTGGGAATATCATTTGAAGTTTTTATTGCATATGTCTTCATGGCGGGAAAGGCCTCGAATATCCAAATCTACAAACAATATAATAACAAACATTAGTAATTGTTAAATAATTAATTATAATTTTGAAAACATTATATAGAAATTCTTACCTTAAAGGCCCAAACAAAGTCTGACAAAGTGTATTTCGACCCATCGCCCCGCAAACTTTTGCGGTCATCAAAGGCAGACGACAACTTAGTCCATGTAGCTTTTCATATATACGAACCCCACGGAAACAGATTCCATGCATTTAGGTCATCTACCAATAATATTAGCTCCTGAGGAATAGGTTGTCTGGCCTCTCTGCCTAAAAAGCCGACATACAAAAGTAGTAGAAGGCATACTCGGACAACATCGACGTCATTCATTCGAGTAAAACCATCTTTCTTATTAAACAATTTCTTCATGTCGTCGACGTGTAAGTTCGACTTCTCTATTGACTCATCAGGAAAAACCCTGGATAACCATGATGGGCGGGTGATATGACGAGTGTACCAGCCTACATCATCGTGTCCGAATCATAGACCAGTGATTAAGCAGAACTCCTTCCGCCCAAAACAAATATACGCCGGTGGAAAATGAAACCATATCTCTTCCTCACCACGTTGTATACTGTCGGTAGATCTCTAGTCATGGTCTGAAGCCACAAATAGATCAAATTAGCATCTCCACCCGGATGCTGTACTCTTAGCCATGGCCCGAAGCAGGTTTCCTCAAACAATTTTCTTTGTGCAGGTGAAAGCTTCGAAGCAATTATAGTGGCTAGGCTAACTTTATTCCTTAATGTCAATGAAGCCGAAAAAAATTTCTACAAAAACAATAAACATACCAAGTTAGATATACCAAAAACTACACTGTTAAGATATACCAAAAACAATAAACATAAATAGTAGTTTATTCTTGAAACTAAAATTTGCAACACTGTTTTGTCTTTTGGTTGAAAAGAAAATCGCAACGAGATAATGAGAATCGCAACGCGAAATGACTATCGCAACGAGAGAATCGCAACGCGAAATGAAAATCGCAACGCGAAATGAAAATCGCAACGAGAGAATCGCAATGCGATTTTGGTTTCGCGTTGCGATTTTTATTTTCCGTTGCGATTCTCTCGTTGCGATAGTTATTTCCGCATTACGATTTTCATTCTCGAAACTATTCTTCTTCTGCATTACTTCAACCAAAAGACAAAACAAAGACAAATACTAACTTCACAGGCTAAACAGTTTAACAGTATTGGCAGCAATCGAATGAATTTAATAAGAAATCTAAGTGAAATGGTTAATCTATTATTGAAATTACCATTAAACTTATCATCAATCTCAATATGAAAAACCTAAAATAATGCAAAAATTTCAAAATAAAAATAAAACAAAACTAACCCTCGGAGGTTGATTTTCCATTTCTGAATGATTGTGAGGGATTTTTGACTGTGAATGGTTGTGAGGGATTTCGCCGGCGATGGAGACGGAAATCTTCGGAGATGGGGACAGATTTCACCGTAGAGAGTGAGAGATGGAGATGAGACTGAGTGTTGTGATTTTGGGTTTGAGGTTATGAGTTGCGATTATTGTGGACGGTTCAGTTTCTGATTTATTAAGAAAAAATTCGTGTTTGGAATTTGAAAAAAAAAATACGCGTTAATACGAATGGCGCTATGTAAATCGCGTTGCGAAAGTCAATATCTCGTTGCGATTTTGTATTATCGCATTGCGATAGTATCGCATTGCGATAGTCAGTATCGCATTCCCAATTCGCGTTGCGATTTACTTATTCGCATTGCAAATTGAGAAAATCGCAACGACACTGTAGATCATCGCAACGCGATTTCCAACTATCGCAACGCGAAATGCAACGCGAATTTGCGATAATGGAGATCGCGTTGCGAATTAGCGATCGCATTGCGATTTTGTTGGTCATTTTGGCAAATCCGAAAAAAGTTGGTTAAAATCGTATATTATGCATTTTTGGTCACTGAGGCGATTTTCTCTATTTTTATTTATATGGAAACACACAAACATCTTTTTAAAAAAATTACTTCCCTGATTTACTTCATCTTCTACATTCTACTATTACAGAAGGTTTTGGAAAAGATGTACATATATAAACCTTTCCAATCCCACTTTCACCCAGAAAATTAGTCGATTAAAAGTTATGTATTATCACTTTTAGCTCCCCAAGTGTAAACACATGAAGATTAAAACCATAGAACGAGGTCGATGAATCTTCCGAAAACATCGAGCTTGGATCACTTAAGTCTAACAGGTAAAACCTTGTGAATAAACTTTGCTTTGAATCTTCCTTCTTCGACTTGCTTTCCAGTTTCACAACACCCTTTAAACAACTCAAGAGGATGGATCTCAAAATAATCTTCATCACTGCCATCCCCCTCCCCCGAATCTACAAATTTAGTTCTATATACATGTTTGATTACTATCAATGCAACACGCGTGCATGAGGAGGCAGTTAGACTATTAGGATTGGTTATGATGAGGTTGTTAGTTTGTTAGACTGTTAGTGGAACTGATGAGAGTTTAATCTTCTTGTATAAATATAATGTACCAGCTGATATGAAGAATACAGTATACTTTCCTGTGTATATTCTCTATTACGCTCACTTCCTAATATGGTATCTTTCGCCAAAGTCCTGGGAATTTTAGTTTCACGCTTCTAAACTTTCTTTCTCTCTGATTCTTCACTCATGGTGCACAATGGGTCTAGTCAGCAAACTGCTGACTCAGTTGCCTTGGATTATACAACTTCCCGTTTATTCCATTAGTTTCTACAACTTCATGGTTGAAACCGCTGCTGACTCCACCACTTCGACCGTCACCTCCGTCGAGGCACCAACTCCTCAAGAAACCAAAAAGATCGCCGAGACGCATGTTCGATGGGCTGATTTGGAAGATGATGCTCCAGAAGAACCGAGCATGCTAGAGGAAGATCTAGAGAGACTGCAACTTCCTTTGATGGTGAATCAAAGAGAAAATGAAGAGAAACTCTGCACTACATTCAGAGTTACAGTGGATGCAAAACATGGTACTACAACTGGTGTATCAGCTCATGTTAGAGCAACAACAGTGTTGGCCCTTGCTTCTGGAGATTCCAAGCCAGAGGATTTCAACCGCCCGGGTCACATTTTCCCACTGAAGTACAGGGAAGGAAGGGTCCTGAAAAGGGCTTGGCATACTGAAGCTTCTGTTGATCTTACAGTGCTAGATGGGCTGGACCCTGTTGCAATTCTCTGTGAGGTTGTCGATGATAATGGATCCATGGCTAGATTACCAAAGCTTCATCAAATTGCTGAGTGGAACAACTTAAAAATCGTATCCATTGCTGATTTAATCAGATATAGGAGAAAGAGGGATAAATTAATTGATCTCGCTGGTGTGGCTTGGATACCAACTATATGGGGGCCATTCACGGCCTATTGTTACAAGTTAATATTGGATGGGATTGAGCATATAGCTATGGTTAAGGGTGAGATTGGAGATGGACAAGATATTCTTGTCAGGGTTCACACGGAATGCCTCACGGGAGACATATTTGGATCCACTAGATGCGACTGTGGGAATCAGCTTGGCCTTGCAATGAAACAGATCGAGGCTGCTGGCAGGGGTGTTTTGGTATACCTTCGTGGGCATGAAGGCATGGGAATCAGTTTGGGCCACAAGCTCCGTGCATATAATCTGCAGGACGCTGGTCACGATACAGTAGAAGCAAAAGAAGAGCTTGGGTTGCCTGTTGATTCAACATCATTTCGACCGCAAGGGAACTATGTTCAACTTACTTTGTGGTGATGTAGACCAAATGTTTCAATGATGTTGCTGGTGTTTGGTTTGTTTCACATTGTTGTTATAGAATAGGTTTTTCTTTTAGAATTTTTTGTTGAATGTTCATTCACATCAAAAGTTTGCATCGATTCAAGTCGAACGGAGGGAAGCATTGGTATTTCCGATACACTTCCGATTCAAATCGAATGGAAGAAAGCATCGGCACTTCCGATTCAAATCGAACAGAAGAAAGCATCGACACTTCCGATTCAAATCGAACGGAAGGAAGCATCGACACTTCCGATTCAAGTGAACGGAAGGAAGCATCGGCACTTCCGATTCAAGTCGAACGGAGGGAAGCATCGACACTTTCGATTCAAATCGAACGGAAGGAAGCATCGGCACTTCCGATTCAAATCGAACGAAAGGAAGCATTGGCACTTCCGATTCAAGTGTTCATCTTTTCATCAAGAAGGAAAAGTAGAGGGAATGTTAGATTGTAGTCAAAGAGGAGAAAAGAAAGAGTAGGGGGAATGTTAGATTACTATCAATGCAACACGTGTGCATGAGGAGGCAATTAGACTATTAGGATTGGTTATGCTGAGGTTGTTAGTTTGTTAGACGGTTAGTGGAGCTGATGAGAGTCTAATCTTCTTGTATAAATATAATGTACCAGTTGATATGAAGAATATAGTATACTTTCCTATGTATATTCTCTATTACGCTCACTTCCTAATAATACATGAATACAAGAGTTTGACATTGGCGTGTATATATATATATATATATCATTTTGATTAAGCTGGGAAACTGAGAAGATAAGTCCGCAAAAATTGGTTAATAAAATAATGACACCACTGCTCCCTTTGAATTTCTTTCTTATTTTTCATAAAAAGTCGAAAGTTTGTTTCTTGCATTTGTATGAAAATACAATCGAAAGCTGCTTGTTGTGCTTTTTCAGAATCAACTGCTAAGGTAACAATAACAATACAAAATCCTAAGGTGTGGGTTTATTTTATTGAATTGAAAAATGAGAATCATGTACTAATTTTGCTGAAAGAAAAAGAATACCATTCATCAGCTGGGGTACACTAAAATTTGTTGCGAATTGAACTTTTTTTTTTATTAATCAACCTGAAAATTCTTGATTTGTTTTGGAGTTTGTAAATAAAAGAGAGAATGTAGAAGATGAAGTTAAAAGAAAAGCAATTTTTTTTTAGAAATTTACATGTGTTGTCATAAAAATAAAAAACACGTGTCAAAATATTATTAGAGGGGCATAAAGAGGGACACATAGAGGTGGCAGAGGATTTTTGTTCCAGTAGTAGGGGGGTGCTTTGGCTAATGTAAAGAGGTATACGTTGTTGATGTAGCCAAGTTCAAATCCTTTTAAGATGTAGACTTGAAATTATCAAACACGACACAATTAAAATATTGATAAAAAATCAGTATAATTTAAATATTAATAAAAATTCAAAGACATTTGAGTATTGAGTGGTATTTTGATATTTCATTCACTTAACATATCTCAAGAATGTGTTGCTTTTAGAATCTTATGTAATACATATATATATATATATATATATATATATATAAATTTTAAAAATTTAACTGAATTAGAAATAAATAAAACTTTAAAAATAAAAAACATATTTTTTTATAAATTTCAAAATTTTTAATACATATAATATCTATGGCATGACATTCTCAGAAGAGTCGTGTAAAATTTTTGCAATGGAAAGGGATCAAATTACCATTTAACCCAATATTTAAATTTGATTATAATACAAGAAAGGAATAAAATTGATAAAGATGTGTTGAGATTTAGATCTTTCATCAGCCAAGATAATTTAGCTTTATCAGAAGATTTTAATAAGAAGTTTCGTGCATATTGCAATAATATACCAATCAGAGATGCGAAGAGTGCCCATACAAATGAAGAGAGTCTGGATGATCTGTTAACATGTTGGGCGAATTGAAAGAGTTCAACCCCCAGACCAATGACTGCAATCGGGGATATCAGGGGGTGAGCCCCTTTATCCTGTGTTTGCAACTGTTTTGTGATAGGGAAACGTAGGAATGCTACTATTATTTACGGGGTTGATTCCCCAATCCTCTGCTGCAAGTACCAACCATTTTGAAGCGGTAAGGGTAAAAGAATTGGATGTCCCAACTATTTTTTTTTGTGTGGCTAAAACAGCGTCGAGTATGACAAGATTCAAATAAAAGCATAGCAGTTTTTAAAAAGTAAAACACCATACAATTGAGCAGAGTCAAGCACGTTTATCAACATATTTCCCAAATATTTAGTGTTAATTAGAAAATAGTGAGAGAAGCTCCTCCTTCTCTCTAAAAAATCAGGCGTTGGTAAACATGGTGACAACAGTTATCATCTTCAATATCCCAGAGTTCATCATCAAGGTCTTTGGCCAATATTTGATAAATATGGCGAGGTGATTGATTCCTTCATCCCCGACAAAAGAAGCAAGGGAGGTAGTAGGTTTGGCTTTGTTCGTTTTACCATATTGGAGGACGCGAGGAAGGCTATCATCGGTGCTGATAGATCCTGGATTCATGGTAGTAAAATTAGAGTTTACATGGCGAGATTTTTACCTCGTGTAGCCTTCTGGAGGAAGAAGCTTTCTGGTCCAAATCCAGCCGAGAATAAGAGTAGAATGGAGGATGCTAGTCAGGCAGAGGAACCTATTGTTGGTGTTGTTGATGAGGATAAGCTTCTAACTCTTAGAGATAGCTTGGCCGGTTAGTGCAGAAAATTCATAAAAATGAATGATCTGGCTGATTTTATGCACAAGGCATCTTAGGACCGAAAATTATGAGGTTAAGCGGGCTAGCAATTTTAATTATACTTGAAGATGAAGAGAGTAGGGATTATACTCTTAATAATCAGATTGGGGCATTGAATAAATGCTTCGACAAAGTGGAAGTATGGTCGGAACAGCTTCAGTGCAGTAGTCGACAGGCTTGGTTATCGTGCAAAGGGATCCCTCCGTTTGCATGGAGTAATTCCACCTTCAGGAATATTGCAGGAAAATGGGGAGAGCTTATTTCCATTGAGGAAAGGGACTTTAAATCCCGGATTGTTTGACAGGGCTTTATTTCAGATCACCACGAACTACAAAGCTCAAGTGGATGAATCCTTCGATTTGAAAGTTGGGAATTGGTTTTTTACAGTTCATGTTTCAGAGTTTGAACCATGCTTCAGCCCAGAATCTGTCTGGGAAGAGCCGTATTCGATGGAAATGGAGGGTGCTTCCCCGTTATCTGCGATGGGAGAGTTAATTGATGTCTCCACTCAAAGGGAGGAAGTTCATGAAAAGGCTCAAGCGGTCTTAGATGACTCCCTTGCTGATGGTGGAGCGTGGCGTTCCTTGGCTAAGGAAGTTGATGAAGAACCTCGATTCGAAGAGGTCCGGGATATTGGAATTGTTCCCCAGACATCTTGTAATGGGGTAGCAGCGCATGCTTCAATTTGTCCGAGGAGTGGCACTTTGAATGTTTTGGAGGTTGATTGTAGGGAGCACGTGGTTCCCGAGTTGGAGTGTTCTGCTGCTATCGAAGTTCATGCGCACAATGTGTTGGAGGGTTGTGCTGCTATCGAAGTTCATGTGCACAATGTGTTGGAGGTTGTGCTGCTCTCGATAGTAATGCGCACAATAACTCTATTTTGTGTATTGAGGGCCCAAAGACCAAGGCTAGTGACGTGAGTATGGGTATTGTGGCTTTAAATAAAGAGAGGAATATTTCCATTGATTCAAGTGGAAAAGTCTTGTGTAGGGAGAACGTGGGATCTGAGGTGGAGGTGTGCGCTGTAAACGCGCATGCTTTCCCAAACGTGCCTAAAGAAGGGCTGTCGAAAAAGGGCATTGTGCCTTGCTTGGACGTGGTGGTTCACGAAAAGAGAGGGGCAGAAGAAGATAGCAAGAAAAGTTATGAGCATGCACGTGTTTTTGAGAGAAAGAATGATTATTCTATTCATTTCCCCATGTTGGTTGGACGTGTAGATTCAAAGGTGGTGGAGGATGAGTTTAATGTGGGCCTTACAAATAAGTGTGCATTCAAAAGATCTAAGGATTTTTTAATTGATTTCCCCATTTTGGAAGGGCGTCAGAAACTTAGAGCTTTGGAGGAGAGAAATGTTATTTTTAGTTCTCTCCGAATTTTACAAGAAAAATTTTCGGCTCACCAAAGGAAGCCTCGTTAAAGTCGAAGCAAGAGGACTCAGAGGAAGGTACATCGAGGGGAGTTTTTTCTGATCTTGAAGGCTTTAAGGTGGTTTTGATATCAGAACATTATGGTTGTAGTGTTAGATTCTGGATTATATGGATTGTATAACCTGTTTTATTTGACGTCTTTTTTAGTAGTATTGTGTTGTATTTTCGGGCCAAATTTTGGCTTTATGTATGGTTAGTATTTTAGAGCTGTTGGTAGATGTATATTTGGCAGTAAGGTATGGGCAGGGATTGAGATTGCTAGGTGGAGGATGGGCATCAGCCCCGGTTTGTGTGCTCGTGGAGCAGCAGGGCATGGGTGATGGGGAATCAAACTGCACGTGGGATGCAGGGATGCTGGGCTGTTGGGGCGCAGTAACATGGTATGAGCATCTGCCACCTTCACGTGGGTGGCATAAGCATTAGCTTGGGCAGAATTAAAATTGTTTACTGGGTGTTGTTTGGTATGTTTTGGGTTACTATTGTAAGGGGTTTGTTTGTTTTTAAACGTTATGTAATCTTTTGGTATTAATGAATTTTGAGGCACTCTTTTCCTCCCTCCGTTGATTAAGAAACACCAATTGGTGTTCCGTTAATCATGAGGGGCTTTTTTAACGAGACCTACACTTCCTATAAAAAAAACATATTCCCCAACAGCATTATGACATGTCCTTGACATTAGCACCATACCTTCTCTACTTTCGCTTGATACACTGTGATATGCTCTATGATTAAGCGTAGTAATTTAGGCTTGCCTTCTTCTTTGCTTGCACCTGAATGATACCTTCATTGAAATCT